TACCAGTCATAGAGACGAGTCAGTTGCTCCTAGTCAAGTAAAAGGAAGACCTGATGGCTATCAGGGACATAGTTTTAAAGGCAAAGTCCCTGAATGAGATGACCAGGACAATGAGTCGCAGGGCTCCAGCAATCCTTCCACCTCAGCCTTCCAAGTAGCCGGAACTACAGGTGTGCGCTACCACGCCCGGCTAATTTTTTATTTATTGTAGGGATGCGGTCTCACCAAGTTGCCCGGGCTGTTCTCAAACCCATGGGCTCAGGCAATCCACTCGCGTAGGCCTCCCAAAGTGCTGGGATTACAGGCTGCGCCACCAACCCCAGCCAAACTCTGCATTCTTAAGTAACTGATGGGTCAAAGAAGAAATTATAGGAGACATTAAAAAATATGAGACAAATGAAGCAAAAATGGATTATACCAAAGCTTACAGGATGTAGCTAAAGCAGTAATCAGAAGGAAATCTACAGCTGTGGTGCGTACTTTTAAAAAAGATCTCAAGTCTCAGTCCAGATAATATTTATTTATTCAGTGAAACTGGGAAGCTAAGAACTTGAACAAAGGCATACAGCTAGTGAGAAAAAGTACCCTCACCCCCCCCACACACTGCCTCTAGACAGGACTAAGTGACTATCTGATAACTTGATTTCCCTTGTCCCTTTTTTTTTTTTTTGAGTTGGAGTCTCATCCTGTCACCCAGACTGGAGTGCAGTGGCACACTCACGGCCACCCCGGTGTTGACCTGGGCTCCTGCGATCCTTCCGCCTCAGCCTTCCAAGTAGCTGAAACTACAGGCACACGCTACCATGCCTGGCTAATTTTTGATTTATAGTAGAGACAGGTCTCGCCAATTTGCCTGGGCTGGTCTCAAACCCACGGGCTCGGGTAATTCACTTGCCTTGGTCCAAAGTGCTAAGATTACAGGCTGAGCTACTGAGCCCGATGGGCCTTGTCACTTTTTATAGGGAGAGAAATGCACTGGTCATGTCAACAAAACAGTGTGTCTGAAAATTAATTAGTATTCTGGCTTCATACTTTAAAAAGAGAATGAGGGCCAGGCTCAGTGGCTCAGCCTGTAATCCCAGCACTTTGGGAGGCCAAGGCAAGTGGATTGCCTGAACCTGTGGTTTCGAGACTAGCCTGGGCAACTTGGTGAGCCCTCGTCTTTGCAATAAATCAAAAATTAGCTGGGCATGGTAGTGCGCACCTGTAGTTCCAGCTACTTGGAAGGCTGAGGCAGAAGGATTCCCTGAGCCCAGCAGGTCGATGCTGGGTGGCCATGAGTGTGCCACTGCACTCCAGCCTGGGCAATGGAGTGAGACTCCAACTCAAAAAAAAAAAATTAGAGAATGAGAAAGTTTTGCTATTTAGAAACTAATGTTTTTGGATAGTTTTACCCCTTATAATGTATCTGTGCCTATTTTTTTGGTGGGGGTTTGACAATTTTAAATCTCAATATCAAGTTAAAATTTTTTTGCAAGTTTGAAAGTATTTATATATCATTAGAGACTTTTGAAAAATGCTTTGTTTTTACTTGCTATACTAGAAGGTTTGGTGAAGAGCAGAGGCCCTGGAGAGAAACTTCTGCCTCTGTTTTCATCCTGTCATCAACACTATCTTTGGACTAATAACACACCTTTTTGCTCCTTTATACCTGCTTCATAGAGTTGCTGTGAGGATTTTTTTTTTTTTTTTTTTTTGAGTTGGAATCTCACTCCGTTGCCCAGGCTGGAACTATAGGTGTGCACCACCAAACTCAGCTAATTTTTTTTTTTTTTTGAGTGGAATCTCACTCTGTCAGCCAAGAGTGCAGTGGCAACTCACAGCCATCACAACCTTGACCTGCTGGGCTCAGACGATCTTTCCACCTCAGCCTTCCAAGTAACCGGAACTACAGACAGACACTACCATGCCCAGCTGACTTTTTGATCTACTGTAGAGACGAAGTCTCACCATGTTGCCCAGGCTGGTCTCAAACCCACAGACCCAGGCAATCCTCTCGCCTTGGCCTCCCAAAGTGTTGGGATTATAGGCTTGAGCCACTGTGCCCAGGCATAATTTTTTGACTATTGTAGAGACGAGGTCTTCTCAAGTTGCCCAAGCTGTTCTCGAACCCCTAGGCTCAGGCAATCCTCTTGCCTCTGCCTCCCAAAGTGCTGGGATTGCAGGTGTGAGCCACTGCACTTCACTTGCTGTGAGGATGTAATGAGATCTTACATGAACTACTTAGAGGGAGCCTGGCAGAGGTAGCACTTAATGCTACCCATTGTTATTATAACACATTTATATGTTATTACATGTGAAGATATAACATGTTAAGATGAGCAAAAACATGTTGAGTTCATCTGTACAATAGAAATATTTTCAGTGAGTGTATTAATAACGTGACCACCAAAACATAAAGGTTGTTGTATTCGTCTGTTCAAACTACCATAACAAAATACCACATTCAGGATGGCTTAAGCAACAGACATTTATTTTTCATATTTCTGGAGGCTGGGAAGTCCGAGATCAAGGTGCTAGCAGATTCAATTCCTGGTGAGGGCTCCCTCCCTGGCTTGCAGATGGCTGCCTTCTGATTGTGTCCTCACATGGTAAAGGGTGAGAGCTCAGGCTTCTCTTCCTCTTAATTAAAAGGGTATCAACCCTATCAGATTCCCCACCCTGTGACCTCATTTAACCTGTAACAACTTCTCACAGGCCCCATCTCCAAATATAGTTACATTGGTAGTTAGGGTTTAAACATATGAATTTTAGGGTGACACGTACATTTAGTCCCTAACACCGATAGAATTTGATGATTTTAGGACGAATATATGGCTACCATATACAAAGCATTATTTGGGGGAAAGGAGAGCACCTAGTTGTCATGAAGGAAAGGGTAAAGCAAACTTGCCTTCCCAGTGAGCTCTTTGTTCTCAGGGAGTGGCAGAAATGTCCATCAGCCATGCAAAAGATTAACCTGCCAAATGGTGAGCATGGCAAATGCTGATAATAGAACTTTAGCACAAAGCTTCTTGGTTTCAGATTAGAATGCTGATGTTCTGACATGGAGAAACCTCTGTTAAAAACCTACTTGGGCCAGACTCAGTGGCTCAGTCTGTGATCCCAGCACTTTGGGCGACCAAGGTGAGTAGATTGCCTGAGCCCACGGGTTTGAGACCAGCCTGGGCAACTTGGCAAGACCTCGTCTCTACAATAAAAAAAAAAAATAGCTGGGCATGGTAGCGCACATCTATAGTTCCGGCTGCTTGGAAGGCTGAGGCAGAAGGATTGCCAGAGCCTACCAAGTTGTTGCTGGGGTGGCTATGAATGTGCCACTGCACTCCAACCTGGGTGATGGAGTAAGACTCTAACTAAAAAAACAGAAAACAGATCTTTATTTTTGATAAACCTCAGCTTATCATTTTTTTTTTTTTTACTGGTTTGTGCTTTTGTGTGCTATCTAAAAAATCCATGCTCAGTCGGGCTCGGTGGCTCAGCCTGTAATTCCTCACCTTTGGGAGGCTGAGGTGAGTGGATTGCCTGAGCCCGCAGGTTTGAGACCCGCCTGGGCGCGAGACCTCATCTCTACAATAAATCAAAAAATCAGCCGGGCGTGGTAGCGCATGCCTGTAATTCTGGCTACTCGGAAGGCTGAGATGGAAGGATCGCCGGAGCCCAGCAAGTCGAGGCTGCGGTGGCCGGGAGCGGCCACTGCACTCCAGCCTGCGCGACAGAGTGAGAGTCCAACTCAAAAAAAAAAAAAAAAAAAAGAATCTGCTTTTGTGTGACCGGGCACAGTGGTTCATGCCTGTCATCCCAGCACTTTGGCAGGTGAAGGCAAGACAATTGCCAGAGCCCAGAGGTTCGAGACCAGCCTGGGAAACCTGGCTAGACCTTGTCTCTACAATAAATCAAAAAATTAGCTGGGCGTGGTAGCGTGTGCCTGTGGTTCCAGCTACTTGGAGGACTGAGGCAGAAGGATTTGCCTGAGCCCAGCAGGTCGAGGCTGCAGCAGCCATGAGTGTGCCACTGCACTCCAGCCTGGGCAACAAAGTGAGACTCCAACTCACAAAAAAAAAAAAAACTACTTATGTGTAGCAAGAGGTGTTGATGGGGTGTTCTTGAGGTTGTGGGGATTCAGAAAGGTTCAGGACATAGTCTTTATCCCTTTACTTTGGGATAACATGTAAATACTTTTAACATGTCTTCATAACTTGCTTGATTGTTTCCTTAAGTGTGTGCAACAGAGATCCTAGTTTCAGATCACATACTTTGGTAAAACAAAGAACAACAGTATTCACGGTCCCCATAATGTCTGGTATCCTGCCCTCTGTTTTAGGTTGTGACCTTTCATTCCCCAGCAATAAACTGGTCTCTGGAGATCATTGTAAAATTGTAGTGGATGAAAAATCAGGTCAGGTGATGCTGGAAGATACCAGGTGAGTTCTTTCTGAACTTTCTTTTGGGTTTCCTCTTGTAGCCTAAGAAGCCTGACTTTAAGCTGTGTGCATGGCTGAGGAGAAGAAATCCTGTGTCTTTAGAGAGATAGCAGCAGCTTATTTTCTATAACAACACATTCTTTGCTTAGCAACAAGAATACACTCTGAGAAATATACCATTAGGTGATTTCATTACTGTGTGAACATCATAGAGACTGTACACAAACCTAGTTGGTACAGTCTATACCTAGGCTACATATCTGTACAGCATATGACTGCGTTGAATACTGTAGGCAATTGAAACACAATGATAAGTATGTATATATCTAAATATAGTAAAAATATGGTATAATCTTATGGGACTACCATCATATATGCAGTTAGATGGTATATAACAGTAGTTAATTAGGTTCTAAAAGTATTAGAAAATGTATTTTCTGGTTTCCAGGGTGGGACATTCAGTGACACTTTGGCTCACTGACATTTTTGTCACTTCTTGAATGTATTCAAATTAAAGTTAAATACAAGGGGGAAGCCCCCAAAAATTAGAATTATGTTTTTAAGGGTAGGCCCCTCGTAGTACACTTGGACTTTGTTCTTCCAGCTCAACCGGTCAACCAAAGTTTTTATTTGGAAGTTTTGAGATGGTTGTGTCACAGTTTGCAGAAGAAACTTCCTGAGTTGTGGCAGACAGGTGACGGTTCTTCTACCGTGACAACTCACCTACCACACTGAGCTGACTGTTCAACCATTTTATACCAAAAACGGCATTACCCCTATGCTCTATCCTCCCTGTTCACCTGATCTTGCCCTGAGTGACTTTTTTTTTGTTTCCCTGGATGAAAAGAAGTCCTCAAAGGGAAACATTTTGCCATTGTGGAAGAGGTGAAACCGAAACGGCAGGAGCATTAGAAGGCATAAAAATTGATGAGTTCAAAACTTGCAGTGCAAAAACCATCTCAATAGGTGTATTGCATCAAATGGAGAGTACTTTGAAGGTGACTGCATTTTAAATACACAATCTTTTTTTTTTTTGAGTTGGAGTCTCACTCTCTTGCCCAGACTGGAGTGCAGTGGCACACTCCCCACCACCACAGCCTTGACCTGCTGGGCTCCGGTGATCCTTCGCCTCAGCCTTCCAAGTAACCGGAACTACAGGCGCGTGCTACCACGCCCAGCTAATTTTTGATTTATTGTAGAGACGAGGTCTCACCAAGTTGCCCAGGTGGGTCTCGAACCCGCAGGCACAGGCAATCCACTCGCTTCGGCCTCCCAAAGTGCTGGGTTTATAGGCTGAGCCACCGAGTCTAACCTCATTATTTTATGATAATTATTTATGACTTCTCTTACTGGTGGACATTAATTATTTTGACTTTTTCTTAGTATAAATGATACTTCGTGTCTATCCTCCAAACTCTGCCTGCATATCTGATTATTTTCTTGAGATGATTTCTCAGAAAAGAACACTATCAGAACATGCCTATTTTAAATCTGTTACAAGTGGCAGATGACCTTTTAGTGGTATGTTGAGAGTGTGCTTTTCCTGATTAAAAAAAAAATGTTTTTTTTTTGAGTCAGTCTCACTCTGCCGCCCAGGCTAGAGTATAGTGGCATGCTCACGGCCACTATAGCCTCAACCTGCTGGGCTCAGGCAATCCGTCCACCTCAGCCTTCCAAGTAGCTGGAACTACTGGCACGCACTGGCTAATTTTTTAAAATTTATTTATTGTAGAGACTAGGTCTCTCCAACTTGCCCAGGCTGGTCTCAAACCCCTGGGCTCAGGCAATCCTCTCACCTCAACCTACCAAAGTGCTGGGATTATATGCATGAGCCATCGTGTCTGGCCCTTTAAAAATTTTTATAAGGATCAAGTGCTGTGGGATTCTTTAGTAACTAACAGTTTCAGGGATAGAAGACTAGAAAGTAGGTTTATTAGGAAGAACTGATGCTCCTTTTCCTATTCTGACAGGTATCAAGTCAAGTTCTTAATTTCTCAGAACAATGCAAAGAACAGAGTGTGTTTTCTGAGGCCGTCCTGCCTGTGTCAAGGCCTGGCTTCCCCATACTGGCTGCATAGTAGTGTTCATGTCTTGTGACTATTGGAATAAATTACAAATTTAGTGGCTTAAAGCAACACAAATTTATAGAAGTCCAAAGTCCAATACGGTTCTCATGGGGCTAAAATCAAGACCTGGAAAGGATGGCTCCTTCTGGCGCTTCCTTGGGAGAATTCATCCTCTACCTTTTCCAGCCTCTGGAGTCACCAGTACTCCTGTCGAGGTAGCCTGTAAGGAAGGGGTGCTGAGGTAAAAGAAAACATACATGGACTGGACACGGTGGCTCACGCCTATAATCCTAGCACGAGCTCACGGGTTCAAGACCAGCCTGGGCAACTTGGTGAGACCTCATCTCTACAAGAAATCAAAAATTAGCTGGGTGTGGTGGCACGTACTTAGAGTTTCGGCTACTTGGAAGGCTGAGGTGGAAGGATGGCCGGAGCCCAGCAGGTCGAGGCTGCAATGGCTGTGAGCGTGCACCAAGGGAATGTAAGCAGAAGAGTAAAATAATCAGACGTTTTGTTTAGAAGGAGTGTGAGAATGAATGGCATGGAAAGTCTGGCAGCAGATGTCCTAACTGCGTCCCCCTCAGTAACAGCTTGGGGTTGCCGCTAGGGTCTTCGATACACTGAAATCTGCGCATACTCAAGTCTTTTGGTTGGCCCTGTGGAACCCATATAATAGGAAAAATTGGCCCTCCATATATGTAGGTTTCTGTATCCTGTGAACTGAAATAAATCCCTGTATAAGTGGACCTGTCAGTTGAGACCTGTGTTGTTCACCTGTATATTATGATAGTAGAAGTCAGCAAACTGTGGCTGCTGCCACCTAGCTTTGTAAGTTTTGCTGGGATACACCATGGCCATTCACTTCCATACTGCCTGTGTTTGCTTTCACACTGAGAATCAGAGTTGAGTAGTTGCATTAGAGACTTTGTGGCCGCAAAACCTACACATCTGTCTGACTCTTTACAGAAAGTGTTTGCTGCCCTGACCTCAGTGAACTCTGGTGGACATCTGCTTGGAGTGTAGATTCTCTGCATCGCTGGGGCCTCAGGAGTGAAGCTATGGAGCTAGGCCTCTGGTGGTCAAAATAATTGAAATTTAGTCGCTTTGTTCAGTTGCTAAATTTGTTATGTGTGCTATGTTCTTGGTTCATCATTGTCTGTCTAACTCCTGACTTTCTGTCAGGTCTCCTTTCAGAAATAGTTCCCAGGGAAGTGCTTCCTGTCCCATCTGATTTAGTCTCCGCCTGTCCATGCCCACGATGCCCTGGGTTGGGGGAATATGCCTTGGCCTCTGCCCTATCCCCAGCAGTGTTTTACCAGCAAAGCAACTCAAGTGGCTTGGCAACCAGTCCACATGTGCTGAGCACAGGGGCCACGTCTTCCAACTGATGGACCAGCACTTAATTTGCTCCTGCCCGGAACCTGTCTCTTAGGAGGGATCAGTATTTGTTTGGGGAATGCATTGACTGGGGTTGTGATGCCGGGAGGGAGGAAACCTGTGGCCAGCACAGGCGAAGTTAGAGGTCAAAGCACAGTGCTGCTGTGAGGCCTCAGGGTCCACCAGGACACAAATGGGGGAGAGCCTTGGCTCGGAACAGCAGAAGTGGTGTGGTTGCTGGTTAGATTGTCAGCAAAGAAGTAGCAGGCAGGCTTTTTCCCAAGAAAACTGTAAGGAATGTATAACTTGTCTATGTGCGTCATTAAATATCTACATAATTCCCATGAGTATTTTTAGCATGGTAATGTTTAGATACTTTTCTAATGGTAGTAGAAAAAAATCTGATAACACCAAATTACTTTTAAGTAGGATACATTATATATATAGTTTGTATGTATATTTATTTTTTAAACAGCACCAATGGAACAGTGATTAACAAACTGAAGATTGTTAAGAAGCAGACTTGCCCTTTACAGACTGGGGACGTCATCTACTTGGTGTACAGGAAGAATGAGCCGGAACACAGTAAGAGAGAGGAAGGCTTGCCGGGGTTAGACCTGGCACAGATGGTGTGCTCTGGGGGTCACTCTGAGATGGAAAGCATCTTTAGAGAGAGGGTCTGCTCACACAGATACTTCCCATAGGAATGTTACTGTTGGCTGCATTCCCTTTATTGTTTATGTGGGTTCTTCGTGTAAGGGGTATCTATTGAGGAATGGGAGTTTTGACTTTGCTGTCCTAGCCCCAGCCATTCTTCAAGAATATCACCGTGGTCACGAGCCAAAAGTCTCAAATGGCAGCCAAGCAGAAAGGAATGGGATGGGTATAGTAGAAGAACTTGGGTTATGTGGAATAAAACCTGGGAATAAGGCCTGGTGGCCATTGATAGTTCTGCTTTTGGAGACCTTCCATGAGACATCAAAGGTTAGACTGGATTCCAGTGGGACTTTCTGATGAATCTATGTTTTTATTTGTGGGAGAATAATACAGGACAAGGAAAGTTATGGGAGTCCTTCAGAGGTCACTTCTGAACTATTTAAAGACCACAGTAAGAGAAAGGGGGGGTATTTTTTTTTTTTTTGAGTCAGAGTCTCACTCTCACCCAGGCTGGAATACAGTGGCAAACTCACGGCCAATGCAGCCTGTTGGACTCAGGCAATCCTTCTACCTCAGCCTTCCAAGTAGCTGGAACTACAGGCACTCACCACAACTCCTGGCTAATTTTTTAAAATTTATTGTACAGACAAGATCTCACCAAGTTGCCCAGGCTGATCCTCTTGCATCAGCCTTCCAGAATGCTGGGATTACAGGCTGGTGCCACTGCGCCCGGCCTGGGAGCAAATATTTTTTAGGCCATGTTCAACATAACCTTAACCAGCCCCCACCACACAGAAGGATGTTGTATCTGTTCCTTTTTGTAGTTTGAAAGTATATGCAAGGCATACCGTCTTCACCTTAGTCTGCCACTTGATACCATTTTCCCCTGAGACTTATATAAGTTGGTAAAGATGCTTTAGATCACTTGTTTTGAAATCTCTTAAAACTGTTGAATGTTGTTACTAGATGATGTGTCAGAATAATCAACAAAGACAAATGAACTGGAGGGAAAGAAGAGAAAAATGAGTTCTCACTTTGCACATGGGCCACCACTTCCCTGATCTGATTACTTTCCTTTTAGATGTGGCATACCTCTATGAATCTTTAAACGAAAAACAAGGCATAACACAGGAATCTTTTGGTAAGTAGGATTATAGCAAAGAAATGCTTGCCTGTTAAGGGCTATCAAATTCTTTTTATTTTTTATTTTTGAGTTGGAGTCTCACTCTGTCACCCAGACTGAAGTGCAGTGGCCGCTCCCGGCCACCGCAGCCTCG